AGTGCAACAAGAACAAAAACAAGTGAAACTCACAAGAACAGTGTAAACAAGTGAAACTCACAAGAACAGTGTAACTTTGGTAACCACTACCTTGTTTACCTCTGACTATAAAATAAAGGCTCAGCTTGCCTCGGGATCTTTCTCTGTGACCTCAGCCAGGCACAGGAAGATCCACGGAGACTAAGGAAAGCTAGAGAGTTCTGAATGCTGTCTCCGTGTAAAACATTCTTTGCTGACTCCGTCCACACCTTTGGGAACCCCTGGACCACCGGGGCTGGACCCCGGCAATCCGGAATCACTGGGGTGATTCTATCCTATCATAAGCACCCATCTGCTAAGCAGGGCACTTTTGGGCAGTGATGGAGTCCATGAAGCAAACAATGAGTTGTTGCAACCTGTCCTCAAGTCCTGAAATCAGAAGGTTTTCAAACTTCCCAATATAATGGAATTCACTGCCTTCTTGGACAATTAATTTTAATCACATCATGTCTAAGAACCAGTTCATTCAGCACTGCAAATGATTAGCGGAAATGGCGTTGCCCTGCCAGTGTGGTTCAGTGCTTGAGCATCAACCCAGGAACCAGGAGGTCACAGTTTGACTCGGATCAGAGCGCAGGCCCAGGTTGTGTGTGGGCTCGATCCCCAGTAGGCGGCGTGCAGGAGGCAGCCAATCAATGATTCTCTCTCATCATGGATGTTTTATTTTTCTCTCCCTCTCTCTCTCCCTCTCTGAAATCAATAAAAACATATTTTTCAAGGTATATGGAACATATAAAACAATCTCTAATTTTTTAAAAAATGGTGTTACTATTTAATAATTCTCAACTTTTCTAATCTTATTTCCCAGAAACACTGTTGTGGGAACTAGCCAGTGAGACAAAGCAAAAGGCACTGGCCAGGCCAACAGAGCTTTCCTCTAGGTCTGCACCCCCAAGAGGCCCTGGGCCAAGTCCCTGCTGGGGGCGCTTGCAGCTTCTGTGTGGCCAGCCAGGCTCCAGGCAGCTCCCTGACTCTCCCTGCTGCTCAGACACCCCTCCGACAGGCTCTCCTGCAGTCTGTCCTCCCTCCATCACAGACTCTTCCCAGTGGAGGACTGTCCCTTGACCCTATCCGAATCTTGCTTCGTTCATGCCAGCAGGATCCCTGGCACACGAATCGCTTGGCCTTCCCCAGGCAGCTGTGAACGAATGTCTGCCTGTGAGTGGCAGAAGCAAACCCTGTGAGTGGCAGAAGCAAAGGGCTCAAATGAGATGGGGGGGGGAGGGGGGGGATGTGGCCCGGGCGGAGAAATAAGGGTGCATTTCGTGAGCACACGAAGCTAACTTTAGGAAGTGGGGTTTCAAAACTGGGGGTCAGCCTATAACCAGTGCCAGGTAATTATAAAGATAAGCTGGGCAGAGGAGAAAGGAGAGTCCCTTCTTAGGAAATAAAATCGGCTTCCTCACCGGGGCATTTTGGGGCAGGAAACAGTTGTCTAGAAACCAAGGAAACCCGGTCACTCCTTTTTCCCCATGGCAAGTCCTGAGCTCGCAGTTCAGCGTCTTCCCCGCCTGCATGGAGGGCATCATCGTTGCTGGCATCTGAGCTGCCTGCCAGTTGCATCACTTCGCAGGGAAACACTGGCATCCTCGTTCTGAGGAGGAAGAACCTCGCTCACTGGGAGCCTTGCCTGGCAGCCCCGCCACCTCCCTGCAGGGCGGGGATGGGTGGAGCAGCCGGCTATCAGGAGAGTACTTTTCTACTTTTCGGTTCCCTGTGCTCAAAGCCAACAGAATGAGTGACGTCATTTCCTTTTCCAGCGTTTTTTCCATCTTGCTCTGTTTAACCAGCTCAACTCGTTGTCATTCTTTCTCCAGAGAATTCCTGTAACTTAGCGGAGTCCCCAGAATTGGCCACTTCCTCCCGCTCCAGCCTGCAGAGTGGGAGCCCCTGGAAAATCCTCTCCCAGACATGAAGTCTGGGAACAAAACTCCAGCCTTAGCCTTGATTGAGCACTTTCCTCACCTGGGAAGATGGGGATATAGGCAATTTCTTTCCTTTTAATTCCACAAACAAGCAAGGAGACTCTCCGTGTGCCCGCACTGAACAAAATGGCCCAAAAGTACCAAAGTGGACAAGACATGGCACTTGGGACCTCAGAGCATCATAGGGGAACAGACCCTCTAACGCAGGGGTTCTTGGCCTGGGAAAGGGGAATGGGGAAAAAAACATCCTTTTCTGCTTTTTCCACTAACCTCTGTTCAAAGCATTTCCTTCCATCATGAGGCTGGGAAACAAACATAAACCTCAATAGTATTCGCAGCACCTGTGAACCTGTCCCTGCTAGAAATACAGCTATTTCCTATCCTATTCCAGCTGCTTCGGAAACCCCAAAATATCATTATGTTCCTCACAACTTAGACATGTCAGTAGTACATAGGCCCACTGCTGTCATTCTTTCTCCAGAGAATTCCGGTAACATAGCAGGGTCCCCCAAACTGGCACACGGAGAGGTTAAATAACTTACCTGAAGTCGCACAGCTCAGCAGCAGCAAAGCCAGGGGCTTCCAAACCAGGCAACCTGGTGCCAGAATGAACTACAACAAGCATGTCAAACTCGCGGCCCGCGGGCCGCATGCCTCGTTTATTTGGCCTGTGTTAGCCTTTGAGTTTGACATGCTTGACCTACAATGTCGACAACAATGTATACATGTTGACGCTCAGAATGCGCCAGGCACTGAGGTGAAAACATTGCTCATGCCTTCTCCTTTACTCCTCATAATAAGGTAAAGGCCGCCCAATTAAATGGATGAAGAAGTGTGAAGATTAGTAAGTTTCAACGACACACCTAGAGTCATACAGCTCTAGTTATGGAATTGGGATTTGTGAAATTAAACAAGGAAGTCGTTAGACTGAGGTGAGACTAATGCCATGGCAGCCTGATAAGCAATCTATAACCTAAGCCTGGAAATGCCTCAAGTCATGAAATCAAGGACAGCCAGTCCCTGACAGTCACTCGGGCTTTGAGCTGTAGCCAGTCAATTTCCTTTCTTAGCTTCTGCACCTTCTCTCTCTGAGTCTTTCTCCTGGATCCTGTGGGCAGAGCGCTCCTTCTGGTCCGGCACTGCCTGATTCCAATAAACACTGATTTGCTCAAATAAACTTGTAAAGTTTTTGATGTGCCTCCATTTACCTTTTAATAGTTCCAAACTCAGAGAGTCCTACTCCAAAGCCTGGGTCCTCCATCAGGATGCAATGCGGCCTGCTCATCTTGCATGCGTGATGCGAGTTTGGGAGAGGAGGAGCCTTACTGGTGGAAGGAGCTGTGCCTGCATGAAGGGCAGGTTGTTACATGGATGGTTGTAGAGGAGGAGGAGGGGACAGGAGAGGGAAGGCGAGGAAGGGGGAGAGAGGGGGAGGAGAAAAAAAGGAGGGGGAGGGAGGAAGGATTACCTCTTATTATCTGCCTACCTCACTTTACCCACTTCCCTTGTCTACCTGTCCTTTCCCTCCGTCCAGAATTGAAGAATGTGTCCTGACTCTGGTTGTCCACGGAGTTGTGTCTTTGATGGTGTTTCTTGTTTGTTTGTTTGTTTGTTTGTTTTTATTTATTTATTTCAGAGAGGAAAGGAGAGGGAGAATAGAAACATCAATGATGAGAGAGAAGCATTGATTGGCTGCCTCCTGCATGCCGTTAGGCTGTCCCCTACTGGGGATCCATCCCGCAACCCAGGCATGTGCCCTGACCAGGAATCGATCTGTGACCTCCTGGTTCAGAGGTCCACACTCAACCACTGATGTTGTTGTTTCTTGTTTTTGTTTTCACAGAGCTGGTGCTTAATAAATACCTGCTAAGGAGCCAAGTATAAAATTCTTTCCCAAACCATTTCTTCTCCAACCTCCATCAGCTCCTAGCAGCACCCTTGAGAAATCTAGGGCTCACCTTTAACCACCAAGGTGCAGGGGGAGGGAGCCCATAGCTCGTGCAGGACTGTGCCAGGCACTCAGAGGTGACCTGCCCCCATCAATTCAGGACAGAAGCTCTTTACACTACACCAGGAAGCCTCCCCCTGCTGGGGTTACTGTGGGGGGGCATGTGGTTGAGGGGCTTCCCCTCACTTGGTGCTCACAGAATCACATTGAGACTGGTGTGTTATCTCCATTCTACAGAGGAAGACACGGAAACTTAAAGACATACGTAATTTGCTCAAAGTCAATAGGATTGGAACCAAGTTGTTCTGACTTCAGGAATCCTGCCCTGTCCACTAAAGCACACTCTGTGAAATCTCCTTCTCAGGTAGAATAAGAAAGGATGCTTCGGCCAACTGGTCACAGTAGAGATACCGACCCAGAAAGGCGAGTATAAAGTGCTTATTTCAGCAACTGGCACGTGACAGATGCTCAGTAAGTGTCAGCTGTCATTGTCCTTAACCATCTGAGGAGGGTCCATCTAGAAGTTGGTGCCCATTTTGTCCTCTCTCCACTGTAGCCTGGGCCCAAACTCCTCTACCCAGGATACCCCAGCTTTGTCACCATGACAACCATCCCTCTGTCAGAAACACTCTTCTCTAGCCTGACATATACACCCTTTGAGACTTAGGGTCAGAGAAGATGTTTCTAGGTTGAGAGCAGTAAGAAAGAGAGGACAGAGAGAGACAAAGACAAAGTCAGGCAGAAAGAAAAGGCAATGACACAGAGAAAGAGGAGGAAAAGCAGAGTGATGCCCAGGAGTCGGTGGTCAGAAGCCCTCCATCCATCTTCCCGATCCGTATGCAGAGGACAGGGTGCTGGATGGAGGCTTTAGAGACCCAGTTCAGAACCCTTCTCTAGTCTCATCCTTCTCCAGGCCTCGTTATGTTCTTTAAGGCCCCATTCATTTCTAATAGTTGCCATTTATGATTCCTTAACTGACCCTTCCCCCCACCCCAATCGGAAGACACTTTCAGTAATTGATTAAAAAAACAGAGTTTATTAAGAAAAATCAGTCAGTACAATATGCACTACAGGATATCGCTCAGCTCACATCACAGACATGGGATAAACAAGCTCACAATAAATTAGGGGGAAGCCAGCCCTTTTCCTCCAGGATGGCCCATGAGACCTTTCAAAGGAACATATTTCATTATAAATATGACAGTAGACTAGTAGGTTATTTCAGGTGGGGCCAGACAGCCTGGGACTCCCGGCTACAGGGTGAGATCTGTCCAAACCTAGATTTTGCCCTACAATCCCTCAGCCCCAGAGGAGAGAATTCCAAATCTGCAGAGAAGTTGCTTCAAAATCATGCTCATTTGCATTAAAATGGGGTCATCCCCATCTCTCTGCCCTTCAATGTAGGCCAAGCATGTCAAACTCAAAGGTTACCACGGGCCAAATAGACGAGGCATGAGGCCCCCGGGCCACAAGTTTGACATGCTTGAGGCTGTCTCCTGGAAACCTCCCAAGCTGTTCACCTGGGCAACCAGATTCTCTGTGTCAGGCGGCAGGAGTTCCTTGATGATTCTTGTCGATCCAGGCCAGGAAGACGTCCAGCTCTCCCAGAGACTTGAGGGCAGCAGACCTGACCTCCAGCTGGAATCAGAGAGACCATGAGAACATGCCTTTCAGACCCTATAATCGTTTCAAACCACTATCCCCATGTTCTGGTCCCCACGAGGTTTTATTTTAGTTTATCCGTTATATTTGCAGAGTATACAGACCCCAAATAATTTTCCCAACAGGCAACCCAAATTGTTTGCCACAAACAGCAGTTAAATCATCTCAGAAACTTATCAAAATTAAAAATTCTTCATTCTTGGCCCCTTGTTTTTCTTTTTCCTGTTTTTTAAGTAGATATCTTTATTGATTTCAGAGAGGAAGGGAGAGGGAGAGAGAGAGAGAAATATCAATGAGGAAAGAGAGACACTGATAGGCTGCCTCCTACATGCCCCACACTTGTGATCGCGCCCACACCTGGGCATGTGCCCTGACCAGGAATCGACTGTGAGTTCCTATTTCATAGGTTGATGCTCAACCACTGAGTCATGCCAGCCAGGCTTTTTCCTGTTTTTCACAGGGGAAAAAAAAATGCCTTTCTGGACAGTTCTTTTGCTTATTTTCTTTTTCAAATTAGCTTTAAGAGGTCTCGATCCCAGGGTGCTGTGCAGTGAGTAGGGAGAGCTTGTTTTCCCCATTGGACATATGAAAGCACCAAAGTCCCTAAGAATCAGTGTCCTACCCAAAGTCACACAACCGGTAGTGGGACTAGAACCCAAGTCTCCTGACCTCCTCCATCTCCTCTTCAGCAGACCAAAAGTATGTCCTGTAGAGCCAGAAGGCATGGGATCGAGTCCTACCTTCACCACTTCATTGCAATACAAACTTAGTTAAGTTTCTTAACCTGTTTGTGCCTCAGTTTCCTAATTTGTCAAACGCCAATAATACCTGTTTATACCTATACTGAGCTTAGAACAATACTTGACTCATAATAAGAACAATAGGACTCTTAGCCATTGTTATAACATTATCCTATGGGCCTCTCCATAAGGAACCAGAGCTCTAACAGCTCTCCCCACCTCCTTGCTATTCCAATGACTAGCATCTCTAGAGAGTGTGGTTGAAATGCAGAATCTCGGGCCTCATTCCAGACCAATGGAGCCAGAATCTGCATTTTCACAAAAATCTCCAAATGATGCACATAAGAAGCATCGCTTCCGCCTCCACCTGTGTATGAGCAGGGTGCTCTTCTGCACCACACAGAATGCTCATGACCGTTCCTGGCCACACTGACACCTGGCAGGTAACATGCTTCATGCATAACAGCTTCCAATTCACTGGAGATCTCACTTCCTCTGGATCACCCCCATCTTAAGAGTATGTGCTTTCCCCCAAAACTTAACACGGGTTAGATCTGATATGTGAGGGCGTAAGAAGACAGTGGAGGGGTTTGGGGGAGGGGAGCCCAGGACCTTAGCAAATCAGGTCAGACCAACACACTCTTTGCAGGCACACACAGCTCGGGAGACCTGCGATAAATACTTGTCAGTGAGTGGATGAGTGTGAGTGGAGTGGAGGCAGAGGGTGGTGCACGCCCACTTGTCATCCCCATCGTTCCCGTCTTCTTCCCCACCCTCACCTGATTGTAGTTGTCATGGATGATTCTGGTTGCATTGGCGGCTTCCTGCCCGCAGTGACACAGCCTCTGCTCCTGCTGATAAAATGGAGGCAGCACCCATGAGAGAACCTTCCCATCCTGGCCCACCCTTTCAACCGCCTCCCCTCCTAGAGTGATGTTTCTCCTTCTGCCCAAGGTGAGCGCCAGGTAAATAAACTCAGGGTGGAGCAGCAGGGGAGCAAGGCCTGTTTGTAGAGTCACCCTGTGTTCGACCAGAGCTTTGGCTTCCTCTGGGTTGACAGACTGGAAGAGTCAGGAAAGTAGGTGCCAAATCCATCTTGTCCCCACTCTGAATGCAGCGCCCCACAAGGCAGGCACCCAATAGATATTTGTTGGGTTTGTTAATTAAATAATTGATTCAATGAATCTTACTGTAAATGGGACAGGGGTCATGATTCCTAAGTTTTAGACTCTGACACACAGAGGTGAAGTAACCTGCCGCCAAGTCACACAGGAAACCCTTGGCGGGGATGGGGCTACAGCCCAGGGTTTCTGCTGTCCTACGTTTTCGTTGGTTTATTTGAGTTTGGTTTATTTCTGATGTTTGATTTTAATAGATAATAATGAATTACAGGGGATCCTTAGGGGAAGGCTATACTGGGGACCTACCCAGAGGTTATGAAAACCCCGAAGGGCCAGAAACAAAGACAGCAGGGGGGTGCCTAGGATAAGCCTGGAATGGCCCTTTCACAGGCCAGTCCTGGGGTCACCTAAGTGATACTTTGACATAAGTGGTCACCCCAGGAGGACTCTCCTTAAGGAAACTCGGGTCTGGTAAGGTATTGGCAGGGAGGACGCCTGGGCAAGGAGTGACCATTGGAAGAGGCTCCTGACAGGTCTCCCCATGGCAGATGAGGGAGGGGATGTCCTTTGCCTTAGGGAACCACGTGAGATAGGCGACTGGGGCCAGCACATCCCGGGCTCTCCCCAGCAGACAGCGCGCAGATGCTGGGAGTGCTGATGTGGGGACTCACGCATTGCTGCAGAACCTTCTGCATGTAGAGGAAAGAGTTGGCGATGCTGCTGATTTTTCTCAGGATCTGGGGGCTCAGCTCCTGGTGGTCCTTGAACACCCTGTCCACGTAAAATGCCAGGAGGTTCTTGGTCACACAGCACACATCTAAGGGCTACAGATATGAATTAGAGAAAGCCCAGGGCATCCACGGGCTACAGCTACAAATCAGAAAAGTCCAGGGTCCTCTCTTCTTTATTATCTTGGAGACCAACATGGCCTATCTGATTAAATAAGAGCAGCAAGGGGCCAAGATACCTAAAAGTTATTTTTTTAAATTCATATTGGTTTCAGAGTGTCCATTCCTTGGTACACTGAAGCTACTAATGATGAAGGCACTGAGGAGAGATTGTGGTTCACCCCCTCTTTGTATAGGGCCGAAGATATATTAATAAGGGATGGAGCCCAGTCAGAGACTAGATTCTCTGTACAGCATCCCCAACAGGTCACCACTCAGTTCTGTTTAGACCCCTCCAGGAACCAGGCATCTGCCTTTTGAAAGCATCCATGTCTGAGCAGTTTTCCTGAAAAGCACTTTCTTACATTGTGCAGAAGTCTGCCCCTCTGTAACGTCTCCTTTCAGACAATGGCTGTTGCTTGCCAGGCATATGCTGGGCACATATTCCTTCTATCGCAATGGCATTCCTTCTATTGCAATGCTCGGCTCTCCTCCAGTCTGTCCGTTCTAAACCGCAGGGATCATTTGATGGGACTGGGATATGCAAGAATGGAAACTGACCGCTGTGGCAATGCTGCATCTGGGCAGGTCCGCAGCTGGCAGAGGGCAGATCTCTCTAAGGAAGGGCTCCTGAACTCCCAGAGCACAGCTCAGAGCAGCTGGCCAGGCTGAGTTTCCTTCTAGCAGCCTGAGATCAGTGAGTTACTCTGCAGGAGACCTATAGCTCTGAGTTTGAGGAGGGAGGGATCTACAGCAGAGATAGAGCCTTCATCTTCATTAGCATCAATGCAGCAAAACCTCCTTGGCCCCAGGGGTAGCTTTTCCTGGACGGTAAACTCTACTTGCCACACACACACACACAAAATGCTTCTCTTCCAGCACCCCTGCCAGTTCCCTTAACCAAAGGGGCTAAAGTGGCACCTCTCCTTTATCAGGGAGGAAAAGAGGGAGACAGAAATGTGATAAAGCCCGGCCGGCATGGCTCAGTGGATGAGCATGGACCTATGAACCAGAAGGGCATGGTTCGATTCCCGGTCAGGGCCTAGGCCTGGGTTGTGGGCTCAATCCCGTTTGGAGAGTGCAGGAGGCAGCCTCTCGATGATTCTCTCTCCCTCTCCCTTCCTCTCTGAAATCAATAAAAATTTAAAAATTAACACACAAAAAATGTGATAAAGACCTGAATCCTCATGGACCCTTTTCTCACATCCCATCAGCTATTTCTAGACCTTGAGAGAAGAATGTGGAGACAGAGGCATGAGACGTGGGGCTCTATTCCTGGCCCACGTGGAACTTGTCATTCTCCCTCGCAAGGTATCAATTGGGTCATTTGAAAATTGTGGTTTCGGAATAGGTAATCTTTAGGGTCATTTCCAGCTGTGATATCTAATGACTTTCTTGTACAGCTAGCTGGAATAGTAGTCAGTAAAAGGCTGCACATCTCTTACCACAAATAAATCAGCCCCAGTACTGACTGGAAGAATTATCCGGTGCAGAGAAGCCCGAGGAGAAATAGTAAATCATTGCAAATATAATGTATCCTCTGCCACATACATACTGAAAAAATAAAAAGATCTTTCTAGAATTCTTACAAGGACTGAAGGAGCTCACTTTTAAAGGCATTTCTCAGTGACCCCTTCTGTAAAGTGAATGATCACCTCAAAAGCCAACTGTCTTGTAAGACAGTCTCATCAGCTCTGGTCTGGACCACTGGACGGGACTCACGGGCTTTCGGGCCTCGGGCTGTCCATTGCAAAGAACCCCCTCAGACCACCTTCCTACAAGTTTTGTGGTCATACAGCCTTTGGCTCAGAAGCCTACAGGGACTCCTGTTGCCTCTGTTATAAGCCCGAGGCTTAGCCTGTCATGGAAGGTTCTTGGGAAAATGACTCCAGTGTATTTTTCCACCTCATCCTCTTTCTCTCGCCTTCATGTCCCTTGCACTACAAGCCTGGTTGCCTTACCGTCTCCTGACACACCCATCGATCTTGTACACCCGTTCTCCCATGCAGCCCAAACCCCTTTCTTCCTTTTATCCACTAACCCGCGGCCTACTCAGCCTGTAGGTCACTGCTCCTTCTCCCGGCTTCCCCATGAAAGCCTCCAGAATCACCCTAAGCCGCAGACATCCTGCCCCCTTTGAGCACGTGGCCCCTCACTCTCTCTCTGGGTAAGTGGCGCTTCTTTAACTCTTCCCAGGGGCTTCTTTTTTAAAAAATTAAATGTATTGGGGTAACAATGGTTAATGACATTATATAAATGTCAGGTGTCCAACTGTGGAATATGACACCTGTGTGCTCGCCATCCAAGACCGAGCTCATTCTGTCACCATACATTTGACTCCCCTCTACCATCTTTGTCCTCCCCCACCCCACCCCACCCCCACCCCCTCTGGTAACCACTACTCCTTGGTTTATATCTATGGGGATATAAAACAAAAAGCAACAAACAAACCTCACAGATACAGACAACAGAATGGTAGCTCCCCAGGGTTCAGAGTGCCTGAGTCATGAGTGTGCCCTAATGTCTCTGGTGATTAATAAGAAGCTGGGAGCACTTAGAGGACACGCGAGATTAGGAAAGAGACGGGGACACGGTGAGGATTTCTTTCTCAGCCCAGGGCCGCTTCACCGTACAAATAACAACACAGGCAAGAGCAGACACAGGCCAGTACCTTGATGCTGTGCAGGGTCCCCGATGTGGACAGGATGGTGACATTTGGGAAGGTGTCCTTAGCTTGCTGGGGAGGAAAACATAAGAACGAACGCACGTGAGGAGCATCCCATGTCTTCCGGAGACACGAACAAACAATGAGCAGGTACTTGTTCTTCATGTTTGGATGTAAGGTCGGGCATGCGCCCTTGCCCACTCCTGCACCCAGAGCCCGTACTCACGATGGTTCCTTTGATTTGTTGGAAGCTCTCTCCTATGTGGCGCATGTCCATGGCAATCAGACATCTCCTGAGACCCCGGGCGTGCACTGCGCTCAGGAGGAACACTGTGCCCAGGAACCAGAGGGAAGCCCGCTGTGCCTTCATGTCCTGCAGGAGGGGTGGAAGTCAGCTGCCCGGCCCGAGTGCAGAGGGCGAGAGAGACCCCTGGTGAGCTCCCCCTTGGACGTCACAGGGAGGCCAGGCAGCCGCCAAGAGAACAGACTCACCGCCCTGGCCTGTGGAGTCCAGAGGCATGTGTCTCCTCCCCTGGCTTTCTTGACTCAGTTGAGTGAGCCCTCCTCCTACCCCCATGGTCCCCTGGCCACCCTAGGAAGCACAATACAGTGAGCTCTCTCTCAAGTCCCAGGGATGGTGACTGTGAGTGCATATCACTCTGTTATGACTCAACACAGCTCACTTTGAAAAGCATTGTTTTTAATCAATTAAATAGGAAAAACAGGGTTGTAATATGTCCTAGGAATTAGGCAACAGATCTAAAAAACCATAAGAGCACATTTATGTGGTTTCTTTTATTTGTCCCCAAAATAGGCGACACCCTTTTATTATCTGCTTAAAACCATTATTTGAAGCCAGCTATGAAGATGTCACCCCTGGGGGAAGATGGGAAAGAAAGAAGCAAGCTGTCTCCTAATAACTAATTAGCCACAGGGAAGAGAGAGGAGGGGAAGGCTGCCCCTGCCTCCCCTCTGTCTCCCACTGCGCCAGGGATGTGAGGGCCATGTTTGAGCTGGCCAGTCCCTAGGCAGGGCCAGACCCTGAGATGCCTTCTCACCCGTCAGCACCGTCTTTCTCTGCCTTTCTCATGTAACCACTTCCAGCTGCTGTGTGACAGCGGAGGAGAGGGAGGCACCCAAATCGGAAGGCAATTAAGGGGCTGCCGAGCGCCCCACCTCCTGCCTTTAGTGATAGTGGCTCTAACTAGAAAGCACAGACATTGGTTCCAGAGTGTGAGCCGCAGCTGTTCCCATACCCGACCACCACTCCACAGATCTTCCTTGGGAGTCCCACACTCTTTTCCGGAAAGCCAAGAAACAGCAAATCCTGTTTAGAGAGCCATTCGTCTTATCTCTCCTGGACTCGGCATCACTCCCGGTGAGAGAACAGGTGTATAATGAGACCTCGCCAAGCAGGGGGCATTCATCACAGAGCTTGGTTGCTCCTTTTCCAAATTCTCTCTCTGACCAAACAAGAGAACAGACCCCACTGGCAGGGGTGTCTGTAGGTCCCCTCAGCGCTCTCTCCCCTCCAAAGGCAACTGGGCTGCTTCTAGAAAGCCAAGTGACTAGGAAGGGAGCACAGTTTTGCTTCTGACAAGGTAACTGTCAGAAGCAACGGGACAGTCCCTGCTCGGCCCCTGCTGCCAGGAGGCCCTGGCATCTTGTGCAGGAGAAAGATGCCTCCCTCCGCTTGGCATCTCCAGACACCTTGGCAGATTGAGATAACAGCGGCAGCTAACGTTCATCATGCATGCCACAGGTGCCAGGCCCTGTGCCAGGCGTTTTTCCTAATTATCATGCTCACAACCACCCTATCTCCACTTTACCAGAGGCGACTGAGACTTAGAGAAGGGAAGGAACTTGCCCAAGGTACGTGGCCACCAAGTAGCAGAGCCAGAGGGAGAAGGCAGGCAAGCTGGCCCTTGACCCTCTGTCCTCTACATCATCCCACTGACGGCTCTGTCCCCTGGAGGAGCTCAGCTGGAGATCCCCAGATGCCCTCATACCAGCCAGAAAGAAAAGCACTTCTGATTGGGTAGACTGAGCTACAGATGCTCCTTACAGTGAACAAGATAAGCCTGGCCGGTGTGGCTCAGGGGTTGAACCAGGAAGTTACAGTTCAATTCCCGGTCAGGGCACAGGCCCGGGTTTCAGGTTTCGTACCCAGTGGGGGTAAGTGTAGGAAGCAGCCAATCAATGATTCCCTCTTATCATTGATGTCTCTATCCCTCTTTCCCTCTCACTTCTTCTCTGAAATCAATAAAAATATATGCTTTTTAAAAAGATATTTAATACTGCAAAGGATTTAAAAGAAGATACATTATAAAGTGCCCAGCACAGTCCCTAGAACAAAGAGGTTATAATAAACGTCAGATTCCCTCCCCTTCCCTCTCTCCTTCCTTCCTTCCTTCCTTCCTTCCTTCCTTCCTTCCTTCCTTCTTTCCTTCCTCCTCCCTCCTTTCCTCCCTTCCTCCCTCTCTTCCTCCCTTCCTTCTTCCTTCTTTCCTTCTTCCTTCCTTCCTTCTATCCCACTCTCCATCTTTTCTTATTGAGAGTAAGGTACCAGAAAGTTCACCTCTATACTGAGTACCAAGCACCTGGGACATCCTAGGCCACACACCATGATGGCAGGCCACCTCTCCGCAGCTGTAAAGGAAGAGGGTGAGGATGAAGATGAACAAGAGCCTGAGATGGAGGCTGGCAGGAGGCTCACCTGTCCCTGGATGCTCGGGCTGCTCCTGCGTCTGCTCTCTCGGTGCTCTTTGCCACGCAGAAAGGGCGGACCGCTTTTATGCAGGTGGATACGAGGAAATGCTGTCAAGGTGTACTGGGTGGGTCCACCTTTGGGAGATTTCCCCCCCCCCCCACCTTGTTTCCTTAGCATCTCATTTCCTTAACTGTTTTCTTTTCTTTCACCTTCGAAATCGAGTTGATTAATCATTATGAAGAAATGCTTCTCTCTCTGGGTCTAGACATGCAGATTCTAGGAAAAATGAACTCCCCATCAACATGCAAATGAGAATTTCTTGCAATCCTGTGTCCGTAGAGAAAGATCCAGGTTAGGTCACTTTCCTGAGAGCTGGGGCATGTCACCAACTGCACCTGGCAGGCAGTCTCAGGAAAGCGCTCTCCTCACAGCCACGCCCTGAGACTGCAGGTGCCGATGACTCCAGCACACCCCACCTGCCCAGTGGCTCCCATGGTGCTCATATTCATGGTGCTCAGAATGCCTACCCGGTGCCAGGCATTAGCTAAATGCTTTTTGTTTAACTTCATGGAGGATGTCGTGGGGTTTCCCCTCAGGAATGCAAAGGATTTCTTTGGACATCATCTCATTCCTCTTCATCTTGTGCCTGGATGGACATTTCATTCTCAATGAACACACAGAGAGAAAATGAGACTGGGGAGTAGAGGGCCTGGAATACAGAGCCAGGAACAGAGCCCTGGAATCCTTGCGGTTGGGCAAGGATTCTTAATTGCTTTTATAAAATAGGTTTTGATTGGTTGAGAGAGAGAGGAAGGGAATGAGAGAAAGGGAGAGGGAGAAAGAGAGAGAAACATCGATGTGAGAGAAACATCAACCGGTTGCCTCCCATATGCATCCCAACCAGGAATCGAACCCAGACATGCGCCCTGACCAGGTATGGAACCAGAGACCTTTCAGTGGACAGGACAACACTCAACCAGCTGAGCCCCACCGGCCAGGGCTCTAAATTAATTTTTACACAAACTCTACACCATGAATTCTCCAAGGATCAGGGTTTTGGGGTGATGGTGATGGAAAGTTAGGGTATAAAAAGTCCCTCCCCCCAACACAAACTCTCAAAATAAACAGAGCTTGTTTTTTTTTTTTTACCAAATGAAGCAACTCTGGGATGAAATGCAATTACAAAGGATCCCCAGGGCCCTTTGAACAACGGGCTGGTACAATGGGCTGGCTCAGGCTCTGCCCTGCCAGACTGGTGAGCCGGAGTAGTGGGCAAGGCACTGGCAGAAAGAAGAGGGACAAGGAAGACTGGGAACTTTTATGGAGGTCGATGCAAGGAAAAGGAGCCTCGAGGGCTAGAAGCCTTGTTGTCCAGCATCTTAGACAAAATGAAATCCTAATACATGTTGAGGGCAGCAGTAGACTGTAGCTCTGGATTTAAAGCCTGACTCTCCTTTCTCTGTGAGACACTGGACTGCTTACCTTTCTGAAGTGCCATAAACTGGGTAAACTGAAGTGTGGGGATTTGAATGAGCTAATGGAGTTGATCCACAGAAAGCACTCAATAAAGATTATGTATTCTGATGCTGTGTGCCAGGCACCGGAAAGGAGAAGACACCGTTGGTAGGAGTTAAACGTAAGTGTTTTTCTGCTCCTGCTTGGGAGGAGAAAAAGAGCTATTCTTGAGTCTAGAGATCTCTCCCACCTCCACCCCTGCTTCCCTAGGGAAGGGGAGGAGCAGGGGAGCTGAGTGCTGCTTCCCAGCTGGTCCTGAGCTGCCTGGCTCTTAGCCTGCAGATGGCGGCCCAGCCCCACATGTGAGAGGATTGCCTAACCGTCCCTGGGACTCTGACCCCGCATTCACCCCCTTGTGCTCAGACTGTATGTTCTGAACCAGCTTGCATTTCAGGGGGACGGTGTCATTGTCAGGAAACTGGCAGAGAAAAGAAAAATATGTGATGTGTTTCAAGCTGCTCCCCCGGGATGCACTAAGGGTCAGGGCGGCTGGGCCTGTGGCTTGGAGGCAGCCAGCCCAGCCTCGGCTGACTGCCTCTGCTCCCTGCGGCGGCCAGACTGAAGGCAAGCCAGCTCCTCTCTGTGCCTCTGTTGACTCATCTGCAACATGGTGCTCACAGTGCTGGCTGGCTATTCACCATGTGGGCATGTGTGTAGGTTAAAGGATGAAGCCATTAGCACAGCAGCCTGCACTGAGTAAGGGCTTAGAAGAGGATACCCCTTGTCATTCATCCTACAGCCCCTACATTGGGAGGAAGAAAGGACAATAAGAAACGACTTCTCCATCCCAAGCCTTGCTGCCTAACACGTAACGTGGAAAATAAGAGACTCGGTTGAGAGGGAATGGCAACCCTCTGGGACTGCAGTCACACCATGGGCTTGCGCCACAGGCATAGGGTTATGTCCAGCCTTAGAACTGGAGCCACTCCAGTTCGATAGCCACTCCACCCACTCCTGGGATACCGGAGCTCGATTCTCCATGTTAAATGGGGCAGCAGGGAGAATGTGAAGGGAGACCAGGGAGCCGGCTGAAGAATGAATGCTCCGAGAGACGTGTACTGGACTCAGCTCTCTCCTACTTTTCAACCCCCTCTCCCCGTCCTCCCCACTATCTACTCCGATTTCATGAACATTCAGGGTGGTGCCGGGGTCATTCCCTCTTTATAAAACAGTGCAGGCTGCTCACTCAGAGTGCTAAGTCCTGGAGCTCAGACAGAAGTGAGCCAGGCACTGCACA